CCTCTTGACTCAGGCTGGGAGGCCTGTGGTTCCAGCTTTTGATGACAGACTCTGTGACCTTGGGCAAAGCACTTCTCTTCTCTGGGCGTGGGGGTCCTCACTTGGCTGTAGAAGGCTCCGTGGGCCTGTTGTCCCCCAGTTTTTTTCTGCAGGGATGTGGGACAAGGCTTCACTTCCTGAGCCTGGGAGGTGGGCAAGGAGGAAATTATGGGTTTCCATTTGACAGACGAGGACACCAAGGGTCAGGTGGATAAGGCCTGCTGAAGATTTCTGAGCAAGGGATTGCTGGCCAGCTCTCAAGTCATACGGCCCTGTACCCCATCTGGCTAATCCATGGGCTTTGCTTTCTGTTGCACCAGCAGGTGGGCACCCAGGCTCCCTCTGTAGCAGGGAAGATGGCTGCTAAGGTATAAGGCAGAAAGAGAAGACTCTGAAAATTGCCCCAGTCCCCTCCCTGACCTCGGTGTCCATTCTTATTGCCCATTGCTGCTGCTTACATGGACCAGTTAGTTGTTCATCCAGGCAAAACTTCTGGGTGGAGATTTCACAGCGCAGTGTAGGGGATGGAGTTCAGAGAAATAAAAGAGTGTTGGGGTCTAGGGTCCTAAGAAGGAGACCCAGGACTGCAGGCCAGGAACTTTTGGCCAGAATGCCAAACTTTTGAAATCCCACCTGTACCTTGGATACCTACAGTAAGGTTTTGAACAAGAGACCCCACTAGCACATCTTAGGGCCCAGAGGGGCTAAGGGAGGTCTGTCCAGGGAGGCCAGCTTGCCTGGGGTGGGGTGGCAGCGCCAGGCAGCACCTTCTGTTCTGATGCTTTGCCATTCCAAGGCTGGCCCTTTAAACCCCAGACCATGATGTCACCGTAGACAGCAAAGGACGGGAGGGGGACTGCAGGCCTAAGGATGGACTGCATTTCCCAGCAGTCTTGAATGCACCACACCTCTCCCAGCAGGCTCTTGCTCACTGCAGATTATTAACCAGTTCAGTGCCAGTTTCCTAGTGGGTTCTCAAGTGTGCTGCCATTCTGGGGTGAGGGTGGGATTCCCATGGGGGTGAAATGCCTGGAGCACAGAGGGAGCAGGCCAAATCTTTGCTTCTGGTATAGGATCGGGCCTCTTTCCTGCCAGGGTCCCAACATCACCCCCAGCTTCTCGATGCAGACTCCTGAGTTCCTCTCTTCCTAGGTAGTCTCCCTTCTAGAACCCGGGAGCCTAGCCCCAGCTGGACGTCATCCCGCTCTGCTTAAGCTTTGACCCCAGGACGGTGCAGGCACTGCCCCTTTGCTCCGGCAGCCCCCTTTAAGCGGTGCGGGGACTACATCTCCCAGCGGCCCTCGGGAACATCCTGACGCAGCACCCCCCCCCCCCCCCCCCCCCCCCCCCCCCCCCCGCAACTACCCAGCCCTCGGGGAGGTGCGGGCCGGGCGGGGGGAGGTGACTTGATGTCATCCTGAGCAGCTGGGCGGCGGGTGCCGGTGCGCCCAGAGCCGGGGCTCCCGCGGCGTCGCGTCGTGCTGGGTCGGGTCCCACGACTTGAGGAGAGGTCCGCGCGCTGCTCGGGTCAGCCCAGAGCGTGCCAGCCGTCCGCACCCCGACCAGGGGCTGACCTGGGGGCATGCTCCGGCCCCTCCGGAGCCGAAGACAGAACCCGGGAGCGCCGCCACCCAGCGCCAGCGCCCGGAGCGGAACCTCTGCGAAGGAGCCCTGATCGGCCGCCCCCTCCCCACCCGCAGTCCCCTGTGGTCGGGGACGGAAGTCTGGGCTTCTGAGAAGTGAGTGTCCCCGCACCGGGAGGCAGATGAGATTTGCGGGGCAAGGAAGAGGAGGTGGGGCGGGGAAGGATGCCAGGTTTTAGGAGGGAGGGGGTGTGTGTGACATTAGGGACCCCATTCTTGGGGAAGTCGCTGGTGGCCTGTATTAGTGGAGCAGAAGGGGGCCCCATGCTGTTAGGGGCCAGGGATGAGGATGGGGTTTCCCCATTCTAGGTAGGGACTGGAGAGGGATTGTTTTGGAGCCTGGGGCCTTTAGGTCTAGGAGAAGGTGGGGTATGCTCCTGTGGGAATGGGCTGCACCTGTATTTAGGGTCTGGGCAAAGGTAGGAGGGAATAGAAGACTGGAGCAGCCGCACACGCGGTCTTTCTGGGAAGAACTGACAGGCTCTCTCTGTCTCTCTTGCTGATGTCTCTGCCTTGACTTCATTTTCAAAAGAACCAGGGTGGGAACTCTAACTGGACTCTTCGGGAACCCCAGGACCTGAGGCCTGAGCCATCCTCCTCTCTACTCTGCTGCCCCCCAGGACTGGGCAGTTGCCGAAGGCCCTGGGGGGGGGGGCCCAGACTGTGGTTGTGTGCCCCCCCCCGCCCCAGGATGGGCCCAAGTTAGTCAGCCTCACCTCATTCGGCATCCTCCGGGCCCAGAGGGAACCCCAGGGGCCCTGAAGGCTTGACCCACCGCCTGGCCACCATGGAGACAAAGCTGCCCCCTGCGAGCACCCCCACCAGCCCCTCTTCCCCTGGGCTGTCGCCTGTGCCCCCACCTGACAAGGTGGACGGCTTCTCCCGCCGTTCCCTCCGCAGGGCCCGGCCCCGGCGCTCCCACAGCTCCTCTCAGTTCCGCTATCAGAGCAACCAGCAAGAGCTCACTCCACTGCCCCTGCTCAAAGGTGAGCCCTGCGGCTGGCTGCCAGGGTACCCGAGTCCTAGAGCGGGCAAGCGATGCTGCAGCGGGTAGTGAGAAGCAGCTGGCCACTGTGATCAGAGGGTTTAGATGGCTCCTTCTGGGCTGGGGACTCCAGCACTGGAGATGACCCCCACCCCCAGCGCTCCAGCCCTCTGCTGACGCATAGCCTGACTGGCCTGTCATCCTTGGAGGTGGGGCATCTGGAAGTGGCACCACCCTGGGGGGGCAGACCACGGCCGAGGGTGGGGCCCACAGTCTGGGTTCCAGGAGGCTACCGCCAGGGTCCTGGAGCAGGTGCTCAGCACAGCTCCCTGTGATCACCACATAGGGTCCTCATCTCTGGGCCACGGGGCTCGACTGGCTGAGCCAGAGGGTACCCTGGAGATCCTCAGCACCCACCCTCCTTCTCATCTCTGGCTCTTAGAACAGAGTGCCACCTATGAAAGGGTGGCATGGTTGTTTTGGGCACCCGTGGCAAGCCCGGGCATCCAGGGTCTCTTACCTTGCTTTGAGTCAGGCCATCCTGCTCTCTGAGCCTGGGTTAGGAAGAGAAGCAGCTCCTTTATCCTGCAGGAATGGAGGGTGGGACAGGAGGCATTTGCTGTCTGCAAAGAGTGGAGGATGACATGAGCATTGGGGCTGGGGGCAGGGGGAGGCTGCTCTATGGATTAGGAAGGTTCGTCCATGCCCAGAGCTGTGGTAACCGGTGCGCAGGCTCAGCCCCCTCCCTTCTCCCCAGATGTGCCAGCCTCTGAGCTGCACGAGCTGTTGAGCCGGAAGCTGGCCCAATGTGGGGTGATGTTTGACTTCTTGGACTGTGTGGCTGACCTGAAGGGGAAGGAGGTGAAGCGGGCAGCGCTCAATGAGCTGGTGGAGTGTGTGGGGAGCACCCGGGGGGTCCTCATTGAGCCTGTCTACCCTGACATCATCCGCATGGTAAGCACCTGCCTGGCTCCCGGCCTCTGGGGGAGGGCTTGGGGGACACGGAACCCTACTGACCTGTCTGTGCTCCCCTTTTTCTGCAAAGGATAACCCCATGCTCTTTGGCTTAGCTTCAGGGCCTACATCTTCCTCCCCTCCTCCCCGCAGCCCTGCTGCATCTGGCCAGTGTAGGTCCCTCGGTGCCTCCTGGGCCTGTCCCACCCTGCACTTTCGCTTATGCTCTCCTGACGCCTGGCGTGCACTCTCATCATGTCCCTTGTTGCCATGGCCTAGCTCAGGTGCAGCCTCTTCTCAGTGAAGAGAAGCGTCTCCGTGTCCAGGCTAGACACCTCCTTTTCTGCTGACTAGGATGTCCGTAGACCTTATTGCTTAACATCTTGTCATCCCCGCTGGACTCCAGTACCCGATAGAGGGCAGGGATGTGACTTGTTTATCCCTGGGTCCCCAGCCCCCAACCCAGGGCTTCCATATGTTCAGGTCATGATCGCTGAGGAGTGAATTGCTTGCCGGGGCAGGTGCTGAGGCTCGTTAGACCTTTGGATAAGGGACCTCCTGGCTTTTCTGCCTTCGAGGGCTCTTCCTAAAAGAACCCTGCCCCTGCCCTTCAGATCTCAGTGAATATCTTCCGGACCCTGCCACCCAGTGAGAACCCTGAATTTGATCCTGAAGAGGATGAGCCCAACCTTGAGCCTTCCTGGCCACATCTGCAGGTACGGGGGCTGGGGAAGGCAGGGAGCTGAGTTTCAGTAGAGGGGGGGATGGCCTCCTAGACTGGCAGAGGGCGGGTAGGGGGAGGAGGGAGGCTGTTCCTGAAGTCACCTTTTTGTCTTTCCCCTCTCTCAGCTGGTATATGAGTTTTTCCTGCGTTTCTTGGAGAGCCCAGACTTCCAGCCCTCTGTGGCCAAGAGATATGTGGATCAAAAGTTTGTCCTGATGGTGAAGTGGGGAGCCCAGGCCGGGTGGTGCCATGGGACAGGGGCAGGCTCTCTGAGGGGTGTGGGGATAGGATGGGAGCAACCTGGGCTTGGCCTCTCCCCTGACCCCTGACCCTGGGTCCCCCAGCTCCTGGAGCTATTTGATAGTGAGGACCCCCGGGAGCGTGAGTACCTCAAGACCATCCTGCACCGGGTCTATGGCAAGTTCCTGGGGCTCCGGGCCTACATCCGCAAACAGTGCAGCCACATCTTCCTCCGGTGGGTGCCTGCTGCCTGCCCAGCTGAGACCTGGGGAGGGAGGGGAGCTGCAGGGGAGAAGACAGAGGCAAAGGCTCCCGTGAGGTCAGCAGGGAAAGGGTATTTATTTCCATTTTACAGATGAAAAAAATAGAGGCTGAGGGAGATGAAGTAGTTTGCAGGGACTCGGTCAGTCCCAGGAGCCTAGGAGCCTAGGATCCAAATCTTTTGATCTTTATTGTGCTGGACCATAAAGACCCAAATGAAGAGATTCTTTCTGCAAATGTGTATTGAGCAATGATGCCCACTGGGCATCAGGGGGCCCCATGGGTCTGGACAAGGGTAGGAAGGAGTTGAGATTGGCTTTGGAGCTAGGTGGCCTGTTTTGAGTTTGGTTCAAATGTTTGGGTGACTGTGGGCGAATCATTTAGGTTCTCCCATCTCTAAAATGGGAATGCTAGCTACACTAACCCAGGGACAGTCATCACGATGAAACAAGGCAGTGCTTCCAAAGCACACAGCATATGGCTCCTTGACCAAGGCTGAAACATTTGTTCTTATTGTTATTAGCTACAGAATAGGTGAGACCTGATCCCCGTCCTCCAGGAGTTGTAGTTCAATAATAATCCTGCTTATTAACTTTGGGGCGGGTGTCATCAAACTGCCGAGCCTCGATTTCTTTATCTGTTTAATGGATCTAATAAACCCTATCTCTCAGGATCATTTTGAGAAGTCCATAGCACAGACTAGATGTCTTAGTGTCTGTTATTCATTGGGTTGAAAGGCATGAAGAGTGAAGGATGCAGCCTGGGTGCCTGCTGACTGGATGGGGGGCCAGAAAATGAGAATTAGGGTCTGGGGGAGAACAAGAAGAGTTGGAATGCTTCCTAGAAGAGAGGTTTGAGCACCAGCGGTTGGGCTGAGGAGGGTGATTCACCTGTGGGTGTGGATCTCAGTGGGGCATGGTTTGGGGTGTTGGGAAGGGAGCTCAGCCTCTGGGTTGGGAGACAGTTGGATTAGTGTGCAGGATGGGGTGGCAGGCAGGATAGCTGAGAAGGGGCTGGGCCTGCTCCGATCTCTCTGAGCCCTTCCGCATCCTTCTCTTTCTCTTGCAGGTTCATCTATGAACTCGAGCACTTCAATGGTGTGGCTGAGCTGCTGGAGATCTTAGGAAGGTGATTCTCTCTGGGCCTCAGCCGGAGCATCAGGATTCTGGGAGGACAGACTGAGGCCCGGTCTTCTGAGCCCTCCTCCTCTCTTCTGCCCCCACCTCAGCATCATCAATGGCTTTGCGCTGCCCCTGAAGACCGAGCACAAGCAGTTCCTGGTCCGGGTCCTGATTCCCCTGCACTCTGTCAAGTCACTGTCTGTCTTTCATGCCCAGGTGAGGCCCAGGCCTGGCCCTGCCACAGCAGAGAGATCCTGACACAGTCAGGGCAGCCATCCGGTCATCCGGGTCAGCCCAACATTTTGCTCCAGCCACACACTAAGTCCTGAACTCATGGGATCCTCCCTCCCTTACCTTCTTTTCCTTTACTAATTCTGTTCCGTCTACCTTAGAGAATTTCCATGACGCTTTAAGGCTGATCTCAGACATCAGCTCTGTGAAGACTTCCCAGCCCTTTCCCTCCTGACCTGCCCTAGGCAGGATTAAACTCTTCTCTTGCCACGGTCCCACAGATTGTGATACAGATTTCAATTATGGAAGCTTTTGTAAAATGTATAAGGACTGGTGTGCTGAATGTTCCTCCTGGGTGAACACGGTTATGTCCCTGCACACAGAGCACGGTGTCTGGCACATCATAGGTAGTCGGTCAATAAACGTTTAGTAATGAGAGAGTAGACACAGTAAGTGAGCAGACATCTGGCCTCCCGTCCTGGTCCCCTCCTGACCCCAGTCCTCCTTCTCTCCACCCACCCGCCTCCCCCCTCAGCTGGCATACTGTGTGGTGCAGTTCCTGGAGAAAGATGCCACCTTGACAGAGCACGTGAGTACCTCTGGGGGGCAAGGCAGGCCCCACCCCTGCAGGTCTGACTCCTCTCTGCCTCAACTCCCACAGGTGATCCGGGGGCTGCTCAAATACTGGCCAAAAACCTGTACCCAGAAGGAGGTACGAAGAAGGGCTTTGATGCCCACCAGGGGGAGGGATCAGGAGGGCTGTTTCTGGAGGGCGGTCAAATGCGTGTGGGAGGGGGGAGATGGGAACTGCCGTGTCCTGTGTCCCTACCTCCAGGTGATGTTTCTGGGGGAGATGGAAGAGATTCTTGATGTCATCGAGCCTTCCCAGTTTGTGAAGATCCAGGAACCCCTCTTCAAGCAGGTGGCCCGCTGTGTGTCTAGCCCCCATTTCCAGGTATGGGGTCTGAACAGGTAAGAGCAGGAGCCAGGGTAGGGACTAGGAGGGCTGGCCAGTCAAACAAACACCGCTCCCTGCGCCCTCAGTGTCTCCTCTGGACCCTCCAGGGTCTGGTGACGGGGAGATGCTGGACTTCAGGTCAGGAGACCTAGGGTCAGGCTTCAGCTGTACTCCCGAGGGGCTAAGGGGTCACAGGCAATCACTCCGCCACTTGAATCTGACGAAGCTTCCTCATCTGTGAAGGGGACCACAGGGATCTCCTCCCCAGATGGTGATGAGGTCTGAGAACTACGTAGTGCAAACCTATTTCGTAAGCTGCAGTGTGCTCCAGAATGGGTTGTTATCCCTGCTCCCTCTTCTTAGTGGCTTTTGATTTCATCAGTCCCACTCCAGGGCACAGCCAGGCGGTTCCACTTCTCAGGCTGGCCATAACTGCTCTTTTCCTGCACGTGTGTGCAGACTGTCTCCCTCAATCTTATGAGCCTCAATCTGGTGGAAGTCAGTTCTTCTCACAGTGACTCTGGTACTTAAATTTATTAAACACCTCATTTGATGGTTACAGCAGCCCCGGGTGGGGGGGAGAGAGCTATTATGAGCCCCATTTTACAGATGAGAAAACTGAGGCTGAGAGGTTAAACGCCTCACCCTAGGTCATACGTCCCATGTGTAGTGGAGCTAGGATTCAACCCTGAGCGTTGGACTCCAAACCCAGTGTTCTTTTCTCCTCACTGCGTTGCCTCCTCCAGTGGGTCAGATGAGCTGAGGCAGAGCTCCCTGGGTTTTGAGGTGGGGGTGGACACCGGGCCCTTGCACACGCAGGGAAGCCATTACCAGGCGCCCACTCTGCCACCTTGCTGCCCTGCCCCCAGGTTGCAGAGCGGGCTCTGTATTTCTGGAACAACGAGTATATCCTGAGCCTCATTGAGGACAACTGCCACACTGTGCTGCCTGCTGTGTTTGGGACCCTCTACCAAGTCTCTAAGGAACACTGGAATCAGTGAGTGCCCAGGCCTTGACCCACCCCACAGAAGCTGGTTCCAGGGTCGGCCAGTCCAGATGTGGGATGACTCCTAGCTGGAGAGGGTCAGGGATGGTAAAGGGGGCAGGGAGAGAGCAGTGCCTGTGGTGTTCACGGCTGCATGCTGTCTGGGACAGGCAGAGTCCTAGAGAGGGAGGTGGCGCCTAACTGAAGTTCTTCTCTTCCCCTCCCCCTTCGCTGGACCCTGCTAAGAACCATCGTATCTCTGATCTACAATGTGCTCAAGACATTCATGGAGATGAATGGAAAGCTGTTTGATGAGCTCACAGCCTCCTACAAGCTAGAGAAGCAGCAGTGAGTGTCGGGCTGGGCATGGGGGGAGAGGGGAAACAAGCAGGAAGGAGCTAGTTCCTCGTGGTTGGAGGGAGCCTAAGAGGACGGCCCCACACCCTATCTGATCAGATGTTTAGTGTCCCTGTGTTCCTGCCAAGTGCCGGGCCATCCACGCCCAGCCCCCCACTGCCTCCTCCAGTCGTGCTCCCACGTCCTTCCAGGTATGGAGCTTCCTCCCCTTCAGCTTCACCACCGCAGACCGGGGCCAGTTTCCCAATGCCCTCTCCCCTAAGTGGAAGGTTCCCATACAGCCCCTTTACAGTGGGGGTGGTGGTAAGGGAGGCTGGACTGTAGAGCGGCCCGGGTATGGGAGCTGCCTCACCCTCTCTCCCCAGGGAGCAGCAGAAGGCCCGGGAGCGTCAGGAGCTATGGCAAGGCCTGGAGGAGCTACGGCTACGCCGGTTACAGGGGACCCAAGGGGCCAAAGAGGCCCCCCTCCAGCGGCTTACACCCCAGGTGGCCACCAGTGGGGGTCAGAGCTAGAGATCCCCTAGAAGGGGAAGAGCTAAATTCGGAGCTCTCAGTCCCTCCATCCCCTCTCCTGCCCAGGGGCCCAGAGAGACACACACCTACCCCTGGCCTTGCCAGAGCGGGCCTGGAGGGCTCCCTGCCTGGCCCGGCATGGGCAGCTTTTGCTATGGGGAGAGGAGGAGAGATGGTGGTCCTGGCAACAGAACTCTCAGGCCTTTGTGGCAGGACTCGACCAGGGCAGGCTTGACCAGGAAGCTGCCATCAGGGACTGCACCTGCCCCGCAAAGCTGGGCTCCAGAGTGCAGGCAGGTTCCCACCCCGGCTCCTGCCTAGAGCAAGGGCACTTAGCCCCTTGCCTGCCCTGCCTCGTGCCAGCACGAGGTCCTTCCTCACCCCACCATGGGATCCATGGTCTATTTATTCTCCCCAGCTCACCCCCAACACAGACGCTGTCCTGGGCCTGGGGCATTTTCTTTCCCTCCTCTCCCTCACCCTGTACTTCCTTGTCCCCTTTTTATTTATTGGGCAGGGGGAGGGGTGAGGGCATAGGCAGAAGAGATTCCCCGTGTCCTAGGGTGGGGGGGGGTGTCACAGTTACCATGGTCTGTCCCCCTTCCCCTGCCTGGGGGTAGACTTAATAAAGAGAGAAACTTGAGAACTGCTTGCTTTATTTAGGGGTAGGGACAAAGAATGGAGTGAAATGATTAGATAGGCTGGTTACGAGGCCAGGCAGAGGCAGGGGAGAGAGAGAAACTCCCCTCTTCTCTGGAGGTGACAATCACGGACTCTTAAGAGAGCTGGAGCTGTTGTCCTCAACGAGGCTCAGGATATTTGGGATATACTCCAACTCAAAACCTCTGACCAAGGGGAAGGAGGAAGGGAAGGGAGGGGCTAGTAGCGCGAGAGGCGACACATGTCACACTGGCAGGCCCTGGCCGTGAAGATCTCCAGCTCCTCCCTCCGGTCCCCCCCACACTGCAGCTGCACCTTTACCTGTGGGAGAAGGGGGTCCATGTTCCGTTCGCCTTCCTTGGGCCATCTTAGATCCCCATCTCCTCTTGTCTCTCCCCACCCCCAACGAGCCACTACTGGGCTAGGCCTTCTCACCTTCTTCAGGCCACTGATGGTACAGCACTGAGAGACAGAGGTGACGTTATGTCGATAGCCACTGGCCGCCAGCACAGAGTACCGGGAAGGGAAGGCGCTAGACTCACAGTGTCCCACACAAGCCTGTGCCACATGGGAGCCCTGGCAGGTGCCTTGGCGGTCACTTCGCACGGTCACGTTGAAGGCTAGAAGGAGACGGGCAAGTGGCAGACGGAGCCTCTGCAAAGCCTCGTCTAGCTCCTGTTGCGGGAACCTCAGGGGGGTCCGCTGAGGGTGCTGCCTGACCTTCGGTCCAGTCCATCAGCTGTTTGCTCCCACCCAGCTTTCTGCTCCCACGGTTACTCACGGTGCAAGTGGCAGCCTGGGACGGCCACCTGCCGACCCCAGCCTTCGGGGACTGCCAGGACCAGCAGGCAGAGGAGCAGCATGTGGGGGGATGCCATGGGTATCTGAAACACAGCGGGCAAAGAGCGGGCTCTAGATCAGCGTGCGGGTGGGAGGGGGGGCTCTTTACTGTGTGCCTCCAGGTGAATGAGCCAGGATTGGGCCGCTCTTTCTGCTTGGGGTGAGGCAAGCCTGTGAGCGGGGCTGTCTTTTCCCTGTATCCGTCTTTGGGCGCATGTGTGTGTCTGCCTGGGGGTCTCTCTTGCTGGGTGGGAGTGTGAGCAGCTGTCAGCTCGCTGCAGTGATTCTCCCCTGGAATTTCTTCTTCCATCGGAGCACAAACATCTGCCTCCCTCCATCTGCCCCACTCGCAGTCCCCAGGTCCTCCCCGGGCTCCTCCTGCCTCAGGAGGCTTACCACTTCCAAGGCCCAGGAACTGAGTGGCTGGCCGAGCGGGTTCCTCAGGTCCTCTGTGGGTCTCCAGACGGTGCTGGCTCTCCGGATTTTTATTTGCCAGCTTTCCGGAGCCACGCCCTCTCGGGGATCAGCTTTCATGCCTGCCTCCCTGCCAGAGCCCTTAGAGCAAATCCCACCTGGGAGATCCAGCTCTCCTCTGAGGTGCGGTCCTCAGAGAATGGCTTCTGCCGCTTTCTGCTGTCTGAGGTCCAGGGCTGGGGGAAGGGAGATATGGAAAAAAGCCCACAGACTGGTGGAATGGGTGGCTTGTGGGCAGCTGGGGAGAGAGGGCTCGAGACCGGGCCGAGTTGTGGGCTGAGGGTTCTCTTCTTTGCCGTGTGACCGTGGACAGGACATTCCCCTGTTCAGGGCCTTGCCACCCTGAACTTAAAGCTCCTAAGCTCCTCCCAGGTTATCCTTTAGCCACTGCAGAGGGACAAGGGAAATGACCCCAGTCAGGGCCTCCTGAGATATGCTTGGTGGCAGAGTTGGGGGGAACGGAGGGTGCTAAGTCCATCTTTAGAGCCTCACTTGCACGGTCAGGTGGATGACTTCTCATCCTGGGGGTCAGCCACAGAGCGGGGATCCCCTTAGTTTCTGGAACGACAGGGTCCTGACTCCTAGAACAGTCTGAAGCTGTCAACCCCAGTAAATCCCATTGTTTAGTCCAGCTCTGGCTCTGGTCTTACAGGTAAAGCCGCTAAGTCTTCGAGAAGGAAAGCTACTAAAAGTCACACGGCTAGTTAACATCAGGCTAAATCTGCCGTCCACACATGATGCTAAATTACACTCGGGGCAAGAATGTGGCAAGTTGGAAAAGCTCCCCATCAGCAGTAGCTGCAGGACATCAGGAAGAAGCCTATGGTGATTTGGCCCCTTATACCCCAGGGCCACTACTTCACTGATTTGCTCAGAAAGGCAGAGCCGGCCACACAGACTGCCATGGCCTGAAGGTGCTCGAGAGCTCACTGGATCTCCCTTTCGGTGTTCAGATGAGAAAATCAGAACCAGAGAGGAAGGTGACTTTGCCAAGGCTTCACCGTAAGCTACTCAGGGTCAGAATGGCGCTCACTTCGCTGTTCTGCAGTGTGCCTTCGGCAGCTTTGTAAAGCGGGCCATGTTTGGGACCATAGGGCAAAGGCCGTAAACGCAACTTGTCCTTAATCCTCCAATTCCACTTCTCTCCTCAGGACCTGGGCATGTCCACAGCATCCACCTCTTCTCCCCATCCAGGGTGAGGCAGCCTAACAAGGGGCCTGCAAGGGACCTAGGCATTCCAGCCCCGACACTGCCATTAATCATGGGAACCTTTTAGCATCTGATGGACCGTCAGCTCTGTTTAAAGACTAGAGGTGACAAGGACTCATTACCTCACAAGGTGGCCCATTCTAATACTGGACATTTATAACAGTTAGAACCCTTTGTTCTGAGCTAAACTGAGTTTCCCTAAATTCCCATTCGGTCTTCTGTGGCCACACAACACAAGTCTAATCTGTCTGTCCCAGACCAGCCTCTGGGTTACATGAAGTCAGAGCTGGGGTGCCCTGGTCTTCTCCAGGGGCCCTAACCTGGGCTGACCTGCAGTTGACCTGAGAAGCTAAACTGTTCTCCTATCAAAAGCCAGAGGGGGTAGGTGAGTGGAAAGCATTTATGCACTGAGGGTGCACTTTGGGGCCAAACTGGGTGAACTGGGGACAGATGATGTCTTGGGGGTCTGTGAGGCTCTTGAGTCTTACAAACTTCATTCCCTAGGCCCCGGCAGGGAGGCTAAAGTTTGCGGTCAGGTGCAGACCCCACCCACCCAAAGCATCCCACCAACAAGGACCAGGCAGACCCAGGGGAGGTTTCAGGCATTGCTTCCCTGTATCTTCAGGGAGAAGTTTTCTCTCCCTCTACTTCATGAAATTCAGTCAATAACTCTTCGTAAATAATTTATTTTCATTAGGATCCTAAGTGCTGGAGACGAAAGACCTAAACTGGCCCTCAGAGCGTACAATTCTCAGACTAGAACATTTTAGGAAGTTCTTTTCTTAGTGTTTTAAATAGAAAAAAAAAAATCCACTGTAAAGAGGCAAAGGATAGGACAAACCTACAAGAGGACTCAGAGGGTTTAGGGCCCACGTTCCCCTTGACTGAAATGTCATGCATGGAGGGTGGAACGGGAAGAGTCATTGCGAGAGGACGCTCTTCCCACTGCTGCATCTGGAAGACTCACCGGCTGCTCTTTCCGAAGAAATAACGAAAGGGGAAGAGAGAGCTGCAGGAAGGAGAACAGAGTGGCTTGAGATTCTAGAGGTCCCTCCCTTCTCCCAGTCCCATTAGGGCTCCATTAGCTAGGACATTTTGGCTTCGGGGAACCACTGAATGGATTCAAGTCTGGAACAGCATTTGAAAAGGTACCCAAATTCAATTATACTCAGGAGGGACACATGAAGGAGAATTCAATGGGATGGCTGAGCTCTAGATGGATAAAGGGATTTGCTAATTGTCTTCCGCAAAAAGGACTCTGAAGACACAGCCTAGATTCAGAGAGGAGAATGGAAACATTTTGGTAACCGAAGCATCTGAATGACCTAACGGTAAGAACAGGCTCTGTTTAAGCAGCATTTATGGGACAAGGTCCAATGCTAGGCACACTGGGGTGGGGTGGGGTGGGATGTGTAAAAGCGAACAAGACACGATCTTTATTAAATTCAGTTAGGGCCCTTGTGCTGTCTCATTTCCATCCTGTAACCCGGGAAAAATAGAGATTATGTGGGGAATCTGCTTGCTTTTCTAATTTCCCCAAAAGATTCAATGAGGCAGACTCTGGAGCTAGATTGCTCTGGGTCTCAGTTTAATGACAGGAGAGAAATCCATCCTACCTTAGAAACCCAAAGAAGCCATTGGTTGCCAGCTCTGCGGGTCTTTCCGGTGGAGATGGATTGTCTTGCTGCAATGGGGGGATGATCTGTCCCACTAGGCTGTCCCCCAGCTTAGAATCTGCAAGGAAAACACTCAGGCAGGGAAAAGGTATTAGCCCAGGGACTTTCACATGACATCTAGTATGGGCCAAGGGCAGCCTCACACCATTTGTTCGAAGCTAGCCAAACTGTTTGTTGAGACCTTCCCAATTTCATCTCAGCCCAGTAAGATACTACTCTGACCTTGGACTATTTTTAGTTGGGCCCCTGAGATTTTTACACGGCTTAAATCCTAGCCACCCACCATGATGTTTTCTCATGGAATGACAACTTGTTGAAGAACTCATGTGCTTACATCCCTGCATCTGTGATAACTACAATCCATACTGAATCCTCATGCTGGACATCTTAACAAGCATTTCCAGCCTTTGCTGAACATCTACTGCACCTCCAATATTCACATTAATGCCCTGAAGGAAAGAGGAGGAAAGACAGCTTCCCAGAGATTATTCTCCAACGAGACAGAACAGTGAAACACATCCCTCCCAACTTTTCTGTAAAACTTATCACCCGTATAGAACTGTTTTCAAATAGTGGGAGCATCAATTTCACCATCATTTGCACAGGAAGGACATGCATCGTTTCCTCTCACTTCTCTTGGAAGCTGAGGGAGCTTTTACGATTCGAGGGCAGGCCCCCACACCAGAGGATGGCCAACAAGAGTCTTCATGGGAGCAGGTATATCACCCAGCAAGTGTGCCCAGACTCAGCTCTGTGTTGCTCTGCTCATCAGAGAACGAAAGAGGTCAGGATGATTATTAAAAGAGAATAAATTTCCCAGAACCTACCCTGTTCCTGGACATCAGTGATATCAAACGTTGGGCTCTCCTGACATTTCTGCTTGGTTTTTCTTTCCATGTTCTGATAAAAAGAGGACCAAGAAAAGTTTTAAACTCGACTCCCATACATCTTGGTGGGCAGGATGCTATTTGTTGGTTGGTGGTTAGTCAAGGAAGACTTCGCAGGGAAAGTGCTATTTGAATGGGGTCTTGACAGATGAGTGAAATTTTATCATAATGGGGGTGAAGAGACGGTCAGAGAGAGCAGGGCATTTTAGACAGGGACATGGTGTATACGAGGCACTACCTTTAACAACTAAAAAGATGAGTGTGGCTAGAGCTGGGGTAGTGGAAATATGACTATGGCATAAGCAGGCAGCACACTATAACTCAGTCTTCTCCCTGGGCTACTCCTTTACAGAATTTTTTTTAAAGTTTATTCATTTTTTGAGAGAGACAGAGCATGAGTTGGGGAGGGGCAAAGAGAGAGGGAGACACAGAATCCGAAGCAGACTCCAGGCTCTGTAACCGACAGTACAGAGCCCGACACGGGGCTCGAGCCCATGGACCATGAGATCATGACCTGAGCCAAAGTTGGACGCTTAACCGACTGAGCCACCCAGGAGCCCCTACAGAACTTCTTTTAATACTTTGAGGAGGACATCCTATAACCTGGTTCCAAGCCCACATTTCCAGTTGATACCCCAGTATTCAGAATCATGGTTCATATATTTTCTTTGGGACTCTCTGCTAACTGGCCACTCCCCTCACCTGGAAAGGGCCTGACTACCTTAGCAGTGCTGGGAAGTTCCTTGAGCCATTGTGCTGGTGAAGAATTCTACAGCCAGGGGCTGTGGACTATCAAGGTGGGTCTGGGAGGCAGAGGTATGATAAGCCTCTAGGAAAGTTAGGATGAAAAAAAAAAAGAAAGAAAGAAATTAGGATGTAGCCTCCATCTTAAGCATGAGTTGTATTTCTAAGATAAACATTTCCATAAACCCTCAATTTCCGGAACACATAGGCTGCTACCTGGGTCATACTGCTATAAAAGTGAAGGGGAACTCTTACCTCTTCTAAGTCTCCAGGTGCACTGGCTTGCAGTCCACCACAGGGTGGAGATGGAATTGAGAGGGCACAGCTCTAACTTCTAGCTTGAGAAAATGACTCTTACAAATTTAATGAAACTATGGTTTGGAGCTTAAATTCTGCTGCATTGGCTCTAATGAAAGCATCTACTAAGGGTGGCAGTGGGGAATAGAAGGGTTCAAAGGCCCTGGGACAGAGGTAAAGATCTCTCAACCAGGGCAGATTCCCCTCACAATATAGGTTAGCATTTGTGTTCTCCTAAAATCTTGACAGATGTCTCCTCAGGAAAATGTCACAAGAAAAGAAAAACATAGCCTGAAATTAAACTGATGGTACCATCTGGGACATCCAACAAGACATAATAATACACTGACAACCCAACACAAAACTGTCCTCTATATGTTCAGGGCCAGATCTGCTTAAAAGTATAGTTCAAGGGGCACCTGGGTGGCTCAATCAGTTGAGCGTCCAACTTCAGCTCAGGTCATGATCTTGTGGCTCTTGAATTCAAGCCCCACATTGGGCTCTCTGCTGTCAGTGCAGAGCCTGCTTCAGATCCTCTATCCCTTGCTCTCTCTGCACCTCCCTGGCTCACGCTCTCTCTCAAAATTAAAAAAAAAAAAAAAATTTTAAAAAAAGTTCAAGCAGTTCAAGCAGAAGTGGCAAAAAAAAAAAAAAAGCTACACACACACAGCAGTCTGTTTTACATCTGCTCTCCCCCTTTTTGTCCTTACAAAGTCTGGATCTCTAGTCTGGCACCTCGAGTAATAAAGGGAATGGGTCTGCCTTTCCTTCCCATTCTCCCCAAAACACCTCTTATGAAACAGAGACCTTATTTAGATATGAGCCATGTTCTTCGAAGCTTTCCCTGTATCAGCTCCCAGTGGTGTCCTGTTAAGACATGACAGTCCACACTGACTGTGACCCTACATCTTGAGTTCCCCAAAGGGGAGAGAAAATATTAAGCATTGGACCATAGGAGCAAATTCGATTTTTCCATCTCAAGTGACTTACACTGAGAGCCACTATGATCACTCTAATTCAAGAGAAATCCTCTTTCTGGGAACAGGGTCTACAATGGAGACTGTCATTGGGCTTTGAGTCAAAATCAATAAACATGTTCCTTTTGGGTTTTGTTTCGGGTTTTTTTGTTTTTTTTTTTTTTTTTTTTTTTTTTTTTTTTTTTTTGGGCTCAGAGTTTTTTTCTAAACCCAGTATCAGGTTGAAAAGGTAATTATGTTGAGTAAGAAACTGTGGGTACTGTTCTTGAGGGAGATGATGTGTCAAACTAAGAATAGGAAGGTATGAAGGATAGAGAGTGAGGGAAATGTTCTTTTAATAGTAATTATCTTGGTTGTATAAAGCGTCTTTGTTCTTCAGAGCTTCATGTACCCCTCCTGTACTTTCTCATTTCTTTTTCTTCCCTCTTGAAAGGATAGGAGTATAGAAGAGGGTAATCATCTGTCTACAATCACTCAGTGGGCCAGGTGGCCATGGCATAATGGGTCCTATACCCTGCCCCTACCCACGGAGCCAGAGGACTGAGTCCCTAAGGGTTCTCTCTTTCCCTAACTAAACAATAAATTCCTGCAAGAAAAACCATGTTTTACATGTTTGGGTGCACCCCAGCACCTAACACAATACCTTGCAAACAGGAGGCAGAATAATCATATAGAAATGAAAATCACTTTACTTTCCTACTTACAAAATGTTTTAGGGGAAAGCCTGTGATCTTGAAGTTGCCCTTAAGTCTTTCAAGATCCAGCCTGTGCTGATCTCTCCAATAACATTTCTTAGCACTGTACTCTAAGCTCCAGGTGCACTGGCTTGCAGTCACCAAAAGCACTATATTCGTTCCTCTTGGCTTTAGTTCTCTGAGCTACTCTGAGAAGCCTGCCTCCCTCCCATCCACCTGGTTTGGGTGAGGTTCTCCTTTGTGGTCCCTTTGCTTCCTTTATTCTTGCACGTAGCACATCTATCAATAATTGTCTGCCTAGCTTTTTACACAGTTGGCATTTTTAGGGGAGAGCAGGAGATCTCTAGTACTTGGCACACAGCAGACACGCAGTCAGTTTGTCGAATAAATGCACATGTTTTACAGATACTTACTGCATAACTGATCATGCTACGGGTTCTGGGAAGGCGAGGGAGGTGAACAGGGAGTGTGACCTTAAGTAACTTTAAATACTTAAGGTCAGAGCTACTTTGGAGAGATAAGTGGAAAGTAAGAAAAAGGCACAAATAACAGCTATTTCAAGAGGGGAAGAAAAGAAAAAGGGGACTCTTCCACAGGCTACTAAAAAAGAAGCCCTGAAATGCAAGAGTAGCAGGTATATGAATATCTAAATGGGGAATAAACCTCACAAATGAAATCAAATGCCACTGGGGCCAGCCCATCACTGCTCTAAGTGAAGTTTTCTCTTACCAGTATCCCATGCTGATGTATGCCTAGCTTGTCTATAAAAACTAGATGTTCCCAGACTCAGACCCCGGTGCAGATGAAGGCAAAAAGTTTTCTAAAATGAAAAAATTCTATACCAGATCCCACCCCGATTCAACAGACCTATTTTCTTCTCTCACTGCAGAGTACAAGAAGCAGCTTTTTAAGCTGAGAAGAAAAGGCCTTTTAACAAAAGGATTCATCGATGTGTGTATTATGTGGCTACTTTTGGGACAGGTTGTGGCAGAAGTAGAGTGGCTGAATGTTATTCTGCAGATGGTGAAACCTGAGAATGAGTTCAGTCAGTTCAGTCTGTACTTAGGACCAAAATGTGCTGGTAACAGGAATTATGACTTGTTACAGAACAGGAACAGCCAAAAGCCTTGCAGCCTCCATTTTGGTGCTTACCCTCCTGGTTTCCATAAGGGGCCTCTTTTTGCTGGGGCCTTGGCTGGAAATCCCCATCTTGGCCCTGAGGTGGGGAAAAAAGCCCAGGAAATGTTACTGGCAGCAGCAACATCACATTTAAGCAAATGTGGCCTAAATGAATATTTCAGCAGGTTGGCTATTTTTATACCACTCCTGGCCTACGGAATAAATTGCGTGGCCAAATTTTCTTTGGGTGCTGCTTTAATTCACAGCAGAATCCCAATTTGAAACATTTAAGGATCTAGGGGTTGAGAAAGGGAAAATGTGATTGACAGCAGGTAATCAGATTTTGAAATACTTGACTGCATCAAAACCCAGAGAAAGGGAAGATGTGAGGCCTCATCTCCATGGAAAATTCAGTCAAATAGAACAGAGCAAAGCTTCACACCTCCAAGTACCTTCACATTCCACCTGTCTGGGAAAGAAGTTTCCTGACTCTTCCCTGACATGTGCATGTGGAGGGTAGAGGCCTCAGTTCCCTCACGGAACTGTTTGCCCACACGACCCCAGGAAAGAAGCAGCTGCTCTCTGGGAACATGGGCTGAAAGCACTTTGGGCTGGGGAGCAAACCACACCTTGGATTATTCCAGCTGCCCTCTCTGGGTGCAAGTTAAGAATGACTGAATTATCTTATCTTTACTGATTCACTCTGTCCCTGACAGAGATTGTAAAGAATAAAGTAAGTAGCCTCCACAACAGCAACTTCAACATGTTAAGGATATGTTCAACATTGACCCTAATATTGCAGTATTTCACCCATTGACTGATACATACCCTCTTGTACGTATTTACATTTTAGCTCACATTCTCTCTTAAAGGCAGATTTCCAAAAAACTTCACTGCTTACTAGGTAAAATAGAATTTTATTTTATTTTTTTCTCACTCTCTTGAGGATTTTTCTGTGTTCTTATATAATATGCCAGGACTTCTTAAGTCTTGGGCCTTCTGGTAGTGTGACCATACTGAGTGCTGAGTATGTGTTGGATTCAATCGTACATAGATGTGATCGCCTTTCCTCATAGTCACTGTCTTGATGAGCAGAAGACTCCCACTTTGTCGAGGAAGGAACTGTGTTCAAATTACTTTGCAAACATCAACGTGTCTCCTTCCCTTAGTCCACCCCCGGAAATAAGCAGGTACCAATGTAGGCTGAAGACAAAAAGTGACTCAGCGAAGGACAAGATCGGCCAGCAGCAATAGTTGGCAAAGCCTAATGAGGATGCAGGATTTCAACTCTCTCCCAACACCACTGACCTGTCCAGCTCTGGCCTGTGCAGGGGGCTGGGTACTTCCACTCGCGCTCCTTTCCTCATCATGGCTCCTGCTGCTTTCGTCTCCGCCGGCACCTTCAGAGAGGAACCAGACTCCTGTGACTCCTTTTCCAGACCTGCTCACAGTTCACGAGGGCACAGTGAAGAGAACTCCCCATCTCGAAATTGCCTACAGCAACTTTTAACACCAGCTTCGCAAGTGAGGCTAGATATCGTTGTTACAGACAGTCTTAGAAATTTAGCCAAGAGGAAAAAGATGGTCTCGTGTATACAATTCTGATTGGACCGGGGCAGCAACCAAGGGGCAAAGTAAGAGGAAGAGACAAGAGCAGGACTTTTTGGACAAGACATGGCAATAAAGGCGATTTTCATCTTGTATAGAAAAGGCAAACTTACCAATCCAAGAGGACTGTCATTTAATGGTTTCCCTACAATGGAAATTTGAAGGTTATAATGGATCAAGATGCTGTTTCACCTGGATTTCTGGCTACCACTTATTTCTTACAACTGGTCGTAGACAAAAAGCTCTATGTATGCCTTTTCCCTTTTCTGCCTGGTACCACTTTTGCTAGAAATCCGGGGTCTTCAAACTCTCTTCCCCTATTTTTTAGACTTAAAGAACTATTGTCATCTACAAGGTCAAACATACTACATTTATATTATATTCTAATGATATGCCACTTAAAAGGGAATGATCCTTAGTATAAAAGAAAAAAGGTAGGGGCCCCTGGGTGGCTCAGTCGGTTAAGCGTCCGACTTTGGCTCAGGTCACGATCTCACAGTTTGTGAGTTCAAGCCCCGTGTCGGGCTCTGTGCAGACAGCTCAGAGCCTGGAGCCTGCTTCCAATTCTGTGTCTCCCTCTCTCTGCCCCTCCCCTGCTTACACTGTCTGTCTGTCTCTCTCTTACACAAATAAATAAACATTAAAAAATTTTTAAGAAGAAAAAAAGAAAAAAGGTAGAACTTCAGACATCAGTGACAAATGAATAGGGGAGATACTTTGAGGCAAGGCCTTTGCACTCTTTTCCAAATCAAACTGGTAGGTATCTATTTGTCCCTCTACGAGTAAAAATAGCAATGGCCTTCAGAGATTAAAAACCTGGAGATGCCTTTAAGATACCGCTAACGTAAAAGTCACTGAATACTCTAAAATGGAAGGAAGTATTTTTATATAAGAGATCTCTTTCACTGAGTGATTACTGTCAGACTTTGTTTATTAATAATGTATAATTAATATATATATATATATTTTAACAACTCAGTGAGATGGGTGCTATTATTATCCTTCGCCATTTCACAAAGGGGGCACAGAAAGATTAAGTAACTCATCTAAGGTCACACAGCTCTCAAGTGGCAAAACCACTGGGATTTGAACCAGGCCGTCTGGCTTGGAGCACTTGCTCCTAACCTCTACACTGTGTGGCGTTAGGGCCCAGTCAGGCTGGCCATTTTGCCATACTGACCTTGCAATGCTAACCCACGGACATTCAACCTTCCCTATTTCTCCTCCACCACTAAAACTTCCATCATTCTACTTACCAGGTGACGGGTTTTCATGAAACCATTTCATCTCCACATACAGAGTAAAAACAAATGGATAGGGGGCCAAGACGATTTCCCCATATTTGAATTTCAGGTGGGACACTCTTTCCCATTTGCTTTTATCTGAGAAATGGTGCTAAGGAGTGAAGAAAGCAGTCAGTACGAATCCCTGAGTACTATTCTAGGGATAAGACCCTTGCCCTTCCCTGTCCTACGAGTCTGCTGCTTCCATTTGAATCTATAGTGTGACCTGTAGCTTATTTCTATCCTGAAATGAAAGGATACAGGGAAATACAATGAAGTGTTCTGTAGCAAATGGCTGCAGATTGTCCAAGTTTCCCAAGACCACACGAATAGAATCCTGGAAAAAAAATCTGAAATGAGTTTAATATTGTCTAGTCCCAGCCAATCTGTCCATTTACACCTGTCACTGCTTTTTGCAAACCCTTCATTCTATTAAAGCTGAACTATGTGCTGTTCCCTGAACATGCCTTCTGATCCTCCGTTTCTGTGCTCTGTTCCCTCTGCCTGAAATGCCATTTCTTAGTATTGGGGGAGTAATGGAGGGGGCCAAGATATGAACAATGGGGTTCCAGGCAATGGGGTTCCAGGGCTTACTCTCTTAACCATTCATTAGGCACAATGCCTATCAACAAATGTTTTCTGAGTAAAAGATGAGAATATCTGCCTGAAAGCTGAGAGCAAGAACACAGAAAAAGCACCTTGAAAACTTTGGTTATAAATGTATATAAATGCTCCCTAGCTACCGCATACTGAGCTACTGTGTGGCAGGCACTGCACACATCTATTTCTAACCCTCACCACAATCGTGAAAACAAGTACTGTTTATCAACCTCATTGACAGGTAAGGAAGCAGGCTTGGAGAAGGTAGGTAACTTGCCCAAAAGTCCCATTGTGAAGGCAGAACTTAACTCAAATCTAGGTGTGACTGGCTCTGAGGTCTATGGTCTCTCCACTTTGCTAGATACTGCCTTGCACTTTTCTCTGCCCATGTTAACTGAAGCAAAGTGAAATAAACTCTGCTCTACTTACAATTAAAATAAGCAGAAAACTCTCATGGTTCTATTATTAAAATAATTGTTATTTATAACAATGTCTCTGATTTCCCACAAGATTCTAAGGTACCTTCAACACTTAGCCAAGAGCTATAGATACCTTTAAGGCTAGGACTCAAATTTTTGGTTTCATAGAGTTTTGTGTTTGTATATTTCATTGTATTCAAATTCCTTGAAATATGACAGTGTATGGGGCGCCTGGGTGAAGGCGCCAGTGGTTGGCGAATGCATGAGCGGTCTGACTTCAGCCAATTCGCTCCGTCACGAGTTCAGGCCCGGTGCTCGCCATCTCCGTCAGGCTCTGGCTGATGGCTCAGGAGCCTGTGCTCTCCTATCTGTGTCTCCCTCTCTGCCCCTCCCCGTTAATGCTTGTCTCTGTCTCTGTCCCAAAAATAAAGTAAACGTTGAAAAAAAATTTAAAAAAAAAAAAAAGAAATATGACAGTGTATGTCTTTATAAATCTGAACGGTCCCAAATCACTGAGTTGTGAAGTCGGAAGAGAAATAAACTAGTTTAGAACTCTCATTTTATGAATAAGGCAATTAAGACCAAGAGACAGAAATGATTTGCTGGGGTTCGCACTGCTAATCAGTGGCTCAGCCAGGGCTGGAATCCAAGGCCAGCGCCCAGAGCTCTGACTCCTTGCCCAACGCGTTCACCAATTCACAAAGCTGTTCACTTGCTCAGTGTTTCTCCTGTGGGAGAACCTAAGTAAGGCTGGGTAAAGGAGGAATGAAAATGAAGTAGGAATAAAGCAATTGCAAATGTTTCCAATTAAAATGAAGACACAGCAGTCTCGTATGTGTATTTACAATTGAGTTTCCTGAACGTCAAGTACCAGGCAGTGGTTGGGAGGGTGAGGCTTCCCAGAGCCCTGGAAGGCGGCAGTCCTCCAGAAGCTTTCTCCATGCCAGCCACCACAGAAGAGAGCTGCAGAGGGCTGGGAACTCTGGTGGAAACAATAGAACTCTAAGCCTCAAAGGTGCTGACACTTCAACTAGAAGAACTGAGAAAGGATACAGGCTTTAATTTCCTTGGAAAAACAGTTAAGTTTCTTTGCAGAGGAACTACGGCAGGGAGAAGCCAAGTGATCAAGTGGAGGTTGTGACTCAGTTCACAGGAAATAATTAAAAGCTGGATATGGACGCATCCTTGGCTTAAAGAATAACTTTCCCAGAAGTTGTCTGCTTTTTCCCCTACCTCCAGCTCCTTGAGGATGACTTCCTTATCTTCTATCTCTTCCCCTCTAGAAGGTAAACAAACAAGAAATAAATAAGCTGAGAAGGAAAGCTCTGAAGACGCTAGACTCTACTGTCAGTACAGAGTAGACAGAAGAGCAAAAATGACACTTCCACTGAGCTACAGAAACATGACTAAGTAAGAATCGTGTGTGTTGACCAACAGCTCATGGGAAGAAGTGATCACGTAGGTGGTATGGTCTGAGAACTGGTAGAAGGTTGTTCCAAAATATCTTCCCCATTAACTTGCCAAGACCTGAAATTAAGTTAATAATTTGTTAGACTTGTTGTACTCAAGTGTAGTCTGTGGACCACCAGGCATCCTCAAGCCCCTGTCAAGTGTTCTTGAAGGCATAACTCTTTTTATACTAATAATAAGACGTTATTTGCCTTTTTTTTCCTTGCTGTGTTAACATTTGTAATCATTAGTACAAAAGCAATGGAGGGCAAAATTGCTGGTGCCTTTGCACAAATCTAGCTAGTTACACTAAACTGTACTAGCAGTTGTGGTAATCTTGACTGCCACACAGGAAAAAAAAAATCCAGCTTCATTTAATATATTTGAGGAAGCAAGAAAAAAATTAATAATTTTATAAAATCTCAACCCTTAAATACATGTCTTTTTAATGCACTATGTGATAAAATGGGAAGTATTCATTAAGTACTTCTGCTGCATACAGAAATATGATGGGTGTCTTGAGGAAAAGCACTTGGGCAACTAACTGTTAAAGTTGCAGATTAAACTAGCTGCTTTTCATGGAATGGTATTTTACTTCAATGATCAGCTAACAAACTATAGTCATTATACAGACTTAGAAATGTGACATTTCCTCAAAAATGAATAGTGAGCTTATCAATTCAAGCAAAACAACTGACAGTATTTATTTGTGCCAATGATGAGTTTTGGGATTTCAAGCAAAATTTGAACTTTGGAAAACTCAATCCACCACAGTGAGATTGACAAGTTTCAAAAACTTAAAACACTTTTCTAAGATTGATCGTGATATTAACAGATATGATTTTTTGATATTGTATAACGAAGTGTGTTGACATTTGGATTATCTATATAAGTCAGTCAACCTATATTTTCCAAATGACCAATGAAACACGTTATGTTACAAATCATCCTAGGTAAGAGATTCACTCCCAGAACAAGACAGATTTTAATACAGCAGAGTTCAAAAAGTTCACTGATAGAATTTCAGATTCCATATTGCAACTAACTTTTAAAAAAGTACCACGTTAAACAAAACCAAACAAAAAAACTATCACTTCTTAAATTTTAATGTAGGGTCAAAGAATGCCCACAATAATCTGTGAAGGCTATTAACACATTTCTACCTTCCCCAACTACATATCTATGTGGGGCTGGATTTTTTTCATATAATTCAACCAAAAAAACCAGACTGAATGCAGAAGCAGATATAATCTATCAGCTTTCTATTAAGCCAGACTAATGAGATTTGCAAAAATTTAAAACAATGCCAATCTTCTCATTAATTTTTTTGTCTTTGAAAATTAGCTATTTTTAATAAAAATGTGTTAACACTTAATGGATACATTATTTTAAATTAACTAATACATTTTAAAATTGTGGTAAAATATATATAACCTAAAATTTGCCATTTTAGCCATTTTTAAGTATACAATTCAGCAGTATTAATTAGACTCACAACCATGGTGTACAACCATCACCACTATTTTTCCAAAGCTTATCTTCCCAAACAGAAACACTGTACTCATTAAGCAATAACTCCTCATTCTCCCCTCCACCCCTCCCCTGGTGACCCCTAATCTATTTTCTGTCTCTATGAATTTTCCTGTTTAATATTTCATAGAAGTAGAATCATATTTTTCCTTTTGTTCCTGGATTATTTCAATTAGCATAATGTTTTTGCGGTTCATCCATGTTGTACAGGTATCAGAACTTCATTTCTTTTGCAATTTCTTTAGTAGCTGAATAATATTCTATTGCATATATGTATACGGCACGCATATAACTACATTTTGTTTATACATTCACCAATTTGATGGCACTTGGGCTGTTTCCATCTTCTATCATGAATAATACAGCTATGAACATTGTTGTACAAGAATCTGCTTGACTCCCTGTTTTCAATTCTTTTGGGCATATACCTAGGAATGAAATTACTGTGTTATATGGTAATTCTATGTTTAACTTTTTGAGGAACTGCCAAATTGTTTTCCATGGCAGGTGCACTATTTTATATTCCCATCAGTTCTATACAAGACTTCCAATTTCTCCACATCCTTGCCAACTGTTATTTTCTGGGTTTTTTTTTTTTTTTTTTTTTAATACCCATCCAAGTAGGTGTGAAGTGGTATCTCATTAAGGTTTGGATTTGCATGTCCCTGGTGTAAGGATACTGAGCATCTTCTCACGTGCTTATCGGCCATTTGTGTATCTCATTTGAAGTAATGTCTATTTAAATACTTTGTCCATTTTTATTATTTTTTAAATGTTTATTTTTGAGAGAGGGAGAGAGAGAGAGAGCGTATGCACAAGCGGGGGAGGGGAGAGAGAGAAGGGAGACAGAGGATTTGAAGCAGGATCCACACTGTCAGTGCAGACCCCCATGGGGAGCTCAAACTCACCAACTTCGAGATCAAGACCTGAGCTGAAGTTGGTCACCTAAAAGAGCCACCCAGGCACCCCAGCCTTTGTCGATTCTTAAACTGGTTTATTTTGTTGTTTTTGAGTTGTACTTCTTTTCTTTTAATGTTCATTTATTTATAGTGTTTATTTTTGAGAGAGAGAGCACAAGCAGTGTGGGGCAGAGAGACAGAGAGAGGGAGACAGAGATCCCACGCAGGCTCTGCACTGTCAGCACAGAGCCAGACTTGGAGCTTAAACTCACAAACCATGAGATCATGAACTGAACCAAAATCCAGAGTCGGATGCTCAACAGACTGAGCCACCCAGGTTCCCTGAGTTGTACTTCTTTCTATATTCTGGATATTAAACTCTTACCAGATATGTGATTTATAGATATTTTCTCCCATCTGTGAGTTGCCCTTGCACTCTGTTGATAGTGTCCTTTGATGCACAATTTTTAAAAATTTAATGCAGTCCAAATTTATTGAATTTTCTTTTGTTGCCTATGCTTTTGGTATGGTATTTAAGAAACCACTGCCAAATTCAAAGTCATGAAGATTTGCACCTATGTTTTCTCCTAAGAGTTTTATAGTTTTAGCTCTTAAATTTAAGTCTTTGATCTATTTTTTGTAAGTTCTGTGTACAGTATAAGGGTCTAACTTCATTCTTCTGCATGTGGATATCCATTCTTCTCGGAACCATTAAAGTTAAAGACACTGTTCCTCCACTATTGAACAGTTTTGGCATTCTAGTCAAAAACTAATTGACCAAAGATGTGAATGTGAAGGTTTATTTCTGGGCTCTCAATTCTATTCTATGGTCTGTAAGCTGTTCTTACGCCATTACCTGTAGCTTTTTGGGTTACCTGTAGCTTTGTAGCAAGTTCTTAAATTGGGAAGTAGGAGTCTTCCAATTTTGTTCTTTATCGAGATTATTTTGGCTATTCAGGGTCTCTTGAAATTCCATGATTTTTTTTTTTAAGAGAGAGAGCGGGAGGAGAGAGAAAATCCCAAGCAGGCTCCACTTCTCAGTGGAGAACCCAATGTGGGACTCGAACCCATGACCCTGGGACCATGACCTGAGCCAAAATCAAGAGATGGATGCTCAACCCACTGAGCCACCTGGATGCTCCATTTCATATGAATTTTAAGATGGGCTTGTCCAGTTTTGCAAAATATGCCACTGGAATTTTGATAGGGATTTCACTGAATCTGTAGATTGCTTTGTCATCTTAATAATATTAAGTCTTCCAATCCACAAACATAGATATCTAGTAAGTCTTCAATTTCTTTTGGCAACTTTTTGTAGTTTTCAGTGGGCAAGTCTTGCATCTCCTTGGTTAAATTTATTGCTAAATATTTTTCTTATTGGTACTACTGTAAATGAAATTGTTTTCTTAATTTTCTTCTCAGATTGTTTTTTGCTAGTGTATACAAATACCACTGATTTTGTGTGTTGATTTTGTATCCTGCAACTTTGCTGAATTCATTGATCAGCTCTAATAGGTTTTTTGTTTGTTTTGTTTTTTTGGTGTGTGTGTGTGTGAATTCTTTAGGGTTTTCTACAGGTAAGATCATGGTTTCCACAGATAGAGATGGTTTCACTTCTTCCTTTCCAATTTGTATGTATTTTATTTCTTTTTCTTAACTAATTGCTCTGGCTAGAAACAAGTACTATGATGGATGGAAGTAGTGAAAATGAGCACCTTGAGAGAAAAGCTTTAAGTTTTTCATAACTGAGTAAGTTGGCTGTGGGATTTTCATATATGGTCTTTATCATATTGAGGAAGTTCCCCTCTATTCCTAGTTTATTGAGTGTTTTTATCATGCAAGGGTGCTGGACTTGGTCAAATGCTTTTTCTCTCTCAATTAAGATAATCATGTGACTTTTTCCCTTTACATTCTGTTACTGTGGTGTATTATATTGGTTGATTTCTGTGTGTGTGTGTGTGTGTGTGTGTGTGTGTGTGTATTTAATGCTTATTTATTTTTTTTTTAATTTTTTTT